CCGGACAAAACCAAGCCACACACCATGCAATGTGACTGTTTTCTGTTTCTTGAGCAAGGTGAATATGAAGTTATTCTCAGCAGCTGATTTTATTATAGCGAGGTCTCCTCCAAGCATCTGACATGTTCGTCGAGCATCGCTCCATTTTAGGGTTCGAATGTCGATGATGAGGTAACTGAAGTTGCCGTAGTAAACCCAACCATCTTGCGGACAAACTCAAAGGAAGAAAATTTTCCAGTTGATTTTAAAATAAGCCTCAAACATTAAGTCGCTCTAATAATAAGCCTCGAACAATTAGTCGCTTTTTTAATTAATTGAAAGTTTAATTCAATTGCAAGAGTTTATACCTTTAGCGCTTGTCGATTTCTGGTACAGGTAATCAATTTTGTACTTCATCTCGGTGAGCAGTTTTCTATCAGCTTTTCCGAGGCCCCAGTTGTTGATGTTAAATGTTTGATCGATCGGTTGAGGCTTTTTGTGAGCTGTAAGCGCCGGTGATTTGCTGAAGTCGAAACTTTTGGGTTTTCCACTGGTGAAACTGCTTGAAACAAGGATAAAAACAATGACGATGAAACTTGATTTTCCAAACATGGTTGAAGTCCTCTCAGGTCCAAAAAAGTATGTAGCCCGCCCCTTGAGAAATGAAAGTTTTTGTTGAGTTAGTCCACTTGATGAATCATCAGTATCTCCAGGCTATCTTCAGGGGCATTGCGGCTGACGTATCACATGCAGGCTGTTTAAACAGGAATATATTTCTCGTCGCAGTTTATCAAAATAATGATCATAATAAAGGAAAATTTAATAAGTTATGGCTATTTGAGTCAACGCCGGTAGACAATTGGTTTAATATCATCTAATATGAAAAAGATGTTGTAATGTTTCGGGGCAGTATATTTCTCACATCTTGTGCTAAAAGGAAGCTAAAAAGTCCAAGAAATTGCCACGATTATCACAATAAATCAATTTTTAAAAGTTGCCTTTGCCTCTAATAATGATCTACTGTTAGTATGTTTAGAAAAGAACGACTTTAACACTTAGTCATACTAAAATGTGCGCTGGAAAGACTCGGTTCCCAAAATACTGTTCAGTAGTGTTCAACACATCGATCAAAAAAGTGTCAGACATCTATCAAATCCAACGGTTTTTCATTCTTTGCATTTGAAGTTGGGCTGCTGTGGTGTATTCAATAGTTGTGTACAGATTAACTACAAAGCAGTCATTCAGGGAAAACCGCACAAATTAAACTCGCATCGTTAGGTATAATAAGAAGGTCGATCCGTTGAGTCTTATGAATGTCACATGCATTATTTTCTGTTATTGGTTTTACCTGTTGGGTACTGATGTAAAAATGATGTATTTAATAAAGCTTACTGCAAGGGAAAAATTTGTCAAGCGGCAGTGATTGAAGTGATGTGTGTATCGAACAACCCATGCAAATGTCACAATTCGCCTCTCATGCCCTGAAGTATAAAAAAGGCTGAATATTTTTGCATTGTAAAAATCTATTCATTCAGGGCAATACCAAAATGGACCGACAGCCTGACTCTATTTTTCGTGGGAGTTAAATTTTACAAGAGAATGAGTGTGATAGGAGAAAAAAAGTAGTCTTAATGTTCTCTGAAAGAAATCGAAATAGANAACCCATGCAAATGTCACAATTCGCCTCTCATGCCCTGAAGTATAAAAAAGGCTGAATATTTTTGCATTGTAAAAATCTATTCATTCAGGGCAATACCAAAATGGACCGACAGCCTGACTCTATTTTTCGTGGGAGTTAAATTTTACAAGAGAATGAGTGTGATAGGAGAAAAAAAGTAGTCTTAATGTTCTCTGAAAGAAATCGAAATAGAAATGAAGTATCTTATTTTTCTGGTGTGTTAGTATACTTAACAATTATTCCTGGAGCCCGAATGGGCTCTGAGTCAATAGCCCATGAGGCCGAAGGCCGAATGGGCACAGAGGTCATGAGGGCGAGAGGAATAATTGTTTTAGTAAAATCCAAGTTGTTGGTCAAAAATATCGAGAATAAAAAAAATTTAGCTAGTTAAAGCCAGACTTTAATCCTTTGTTGCCGCAAAAAAGCCCGCGCTTTTCGCTACTAGTAGGCTAAAACATATAGCCTAGTAGTAGCTCAACCAATCAAAACGCAGCATTGATAATAGACCACTAGTTGGATTTTACTAATTTTTGTTATTCCGCCTTTTTGGCGAGTTATAAATTACTCGAGTTGCACTTCCAGTTATAGATTGCCTCTCTTATTTTTTTTATATTTAAAGCTGTTCGTTTTAAAATTTTAAAATCAAAACGGTTATGAAACCCCCTGCGAAGCAAAAAGACAACACAAATACTGGGCAAGTCTTTGGTTTGTTATGAAGTATACTCCGTTCGATTGTGCTATTTAGACACTCAAAGATGCTCGAGAGGTCGATAGGTTCATCGACAGTTCGTCCAATGTTAGATTGCCCACATTTCCCGCGCAAAGTACCTTTTTAATCGTACAATAAGTGCATAATGAAAATGCAATCAAGATTTGATATCGTTGAAATGTAATATATTTAACAGTTAATGAATGAGGCTGAGTATCTTATGAAGAATTATGGTGATCGAGGAGGGTGTTATCCGTCGAGGCCTTAGACCGAGGCGGATAACACCCTGCGAGAACTCCACAATTCTTCATATGAAACGAAAGCCGAATTCAATAATTGTTTATTATTCATTCAAAATAATTCCTAGTTTAAAAACGAAGCCAAAACATGGTTACCTCCATCGATGTGAAGTTCGCCTTCGATAATGCACGTTTAGGGTTGTTCAGCTCAGCAAATATTCTCCAAATAGCAGATGTCGCCCTTCGAGTTGTGTTCTTGCTGTTCTTGCCATGTTTTAGCTACAATTACGCCTAGTTCTTACTCTTGAAATGAGTGAAATGTCTGGCTTTTTTTGTTTTCACAACCAAAACAACTCAACGTCGTCCCCAGGTCTTCTCGGTTAACGGTTCATTAACCTGCAAGAACGCCGCATTTTTGACGTCATTTCCTCGTTAAACACAAAATTCTTCCAAATTTGGTCATCAGTAACTGGTTATGGGGAATTATGCGTGTGGTTTTTAGCCAATCACAATCGGGGAAATATTTTGAATTAATAACAAAAAGTGATAATAGTACAAAATTGCACGAGAGATTGTTGTTACAATAACAAGAAATTGTATCAAGTGGAAAATGTCGGAGTTAGCCGGAGTAAGGGTCGACTTTTTCACCATCCACTCCCCTTTTTGCATCTTCCCTTTTAACAGTTTGAAAGACGCTGGTGTGTTTACGCCTGATTACGGGCTCAAAAGTTTATTCACGATACATTCACCACATTCACACACTCATAATACACCTTGTTTACCCTACAAAATTTTGCATAACCATTGTCTTGGGTTTCTCTTGGGATAACTATAATACCCTGGAGAAACTGAAAACAATCGTTATGCAAAATTTGGGTAGTAAAACAACGTGCATTGTGGTCTACGTGGTGAATTAGCCCAATACTGTTTATTAGATAGTTTGTTCCAGGCGTTCAGATCGTGGGGACAGAACAGGCTATTTTTAGACTGCATTGGCTCTGCAGACCAAGGCGTAGCTGCGGGGGTTTTATGGTGACAGCCGAACAACCCTCTTCCCTCCTACCCAGTCAAGAAATCTACAAGTATTGCAGACAAAAAAACTTGTCCATTGCGAAAAACAAATAAACAAACAATCATGGTGTAACTTATTTCTTAGTTAAATAATTGACTGAGAGAAGATGTAGGATATGCCTTGTATGATTTTTAAAAAGAAAAAAAAAAGATCATTTTTCTCAAGTTTGATTTCGAAAGGCGTCTTCTTTTAGGCATGAAATTTGTTGCCTTAGTTTATGAGACTTGTTGACTTCAATATAAAGCTTCATCAGTGATTCTCGCAATGATAATTTAGTAAAACGGTAATAGGAAGCTGAAACAATGATTAGCTTTTAAACCAAGTGCAGTGAATACAAGTCGTGAATGTCATATCTTTTGTATCGAACTGAGTAGGGTCTTTCCTATAATGAGATCTCTTGTAGCTAATTTTTTATCTCAAGTAGTTTTTGTTTTCCTTTTGTTTCTGAGTATGGTGATTTATGCTTAGAAAGTTGAAACAAAAGAAAAATATTAATTACCTGAGGTAAAGAATTAACTACAACATATCCCCATATCCATTCTCGGTGAAAATAGATCGTCTGTAGCCTGCGTGGCAGGATTTTTACCGGTAAACATTGTAGGATATTGCACTTCGTAAAAGCGAATCAAGTTCGACGTCTGAATCAACCATTGAACTTTTATCATTTGGGTCGAGCCAATCAAGTTCGGCTCATGAAAAGTTCGACATTTGAACTGGTCCTAAGCCCTCTTTCTCCCCAGTTCCCGTGCGTTTTCGCGTTTTCTTGGAGAAGCCGGAAACAGGCTACTATATCCAACCCCCTTCCTTTTTCCTTTTCCCCCCATCCCTTTCGTTCCCTTCCTCGGAGGCTAACATAAATAGACCATATGGCAGTAGATTCACTAAATATTAAGAGTAGCAGCACCTAAATATGGAACCAAGATATAACAATGGCAAGGGCTGCATCGATGAAAACACGCACGAAGACCTGAGCAAATGTTTTGCTACATGTGAACACGAATAGAGTAAATTCCTTCAAAGTGCGAAAAAAATGAAGGTTACAATACAGACATAAACAACCTAAACACCACCACAAAACGAAATGCAAGGAAACAAGAAAAAACGAGGCTGCTTACCCAATACTGAGGACGTTTACAACGTTTGGAGTTCGGGAAAACGAGAAAAAACTAACATAGATTAACGGACACTTAAATTAGACACGTTAAAAGCACTACCTTAAAAAGGGCGAGATAACAAACTATATACGACCAAATTTACATATTAGTCAGGTCTCTTAGTGCAAAATATAGGCCGGATCATTACAGACGTGACAAAAGTGTCAAATTTGGCAGAGAGCTTCCTTAGCACCTACCGATTAATAGTGGAGGGGGTGCCCGTTACAAATGGTCCTAATTACAGATAAAAGGGGGGGTTAACTTTCACCTATAATAGCAGATTGGGTGTCCTGTGGTGAGTACTCTTCTTGTTTGATTTGGCTAAAAAACATTTGTTG